AGGGCCGCGCCCCGGACGGGGGCTGTGGCCGGCGGGGGGAGCCTGCCCCTGCCTGGCGGGACCGGGTGGCCGAGAGCAGCCCCTGCTCCCTGGACGGCGAGTTGGATATTGAACAAATAGAGAATAACTGAGGCCCGGCCCCGGGCAGGTGGCGCACCAGGATCCACGGCCTCGCTCTGGGCACGGGCAGGCGCTTGAAGCGGGAGCCCCACTCCGGGGCCTGAGAAAGCGTCCGGAAGGAGTCGGGTGCCTGGGAGTGCGCCCCCTCCTCCCGCAGAGGCGCCCCTGCCTGCAGAGCCCCCAGCCCAGGGCACCCACCAGCCCACGCCGCGCAGTGGAATGGAGCCCGGCCCTGACCAGCGGGCCACGGGCCACAGAACTGCTGTGGGTTTGGGTCTCGCCGCCTTTTCCTTGTGGAACGTGGGCCCCCACGCATCCCAGGCACCTGCCGGGCACTCATCCTCGCTCTGCCTGCTGCCCTGGCCGGGGTTCGACCCTCCGGGGCTTGCTGGGGCCTCAGGCCCATCCGGGGGTGTCGGGTCCTTCTTGGCCTCCTGCTCAGGTTCCGTGGGGGGTCGCCCCCAGCTTCTTTAGCTCAGTCTTACTCTGTGCCTTGCCTCCGGGCCCCGCCTCAGGCTGGAAGGTTCCGGAGGCACTTCCTTCTGCAGCAGCACCAGACCCGAGTGGCCTTAATTCCGAGTGAGAGACAGAGGCCGGGGCCGAGGGGCCCTGCGCGTCTGAACTCTCAAGGCCAGGGAGCAACTTGGGGTGGTTGTCAGAGGCCATCTATGGGGGGCAGACATGGGGTAGGGAGACAGACCCGCTTACCTCCCCCGTGTGTGGCCAGCCCGGCCCCGTGGCTCCCGGCCACTCCGGGGGCCACTCTGCAGGGTTGGCAGAGGGCAGCCGTTCCCCGTGCCACCCCGTCACTGAGGGATGGGCTTAGTTGATTCCGGGAGCGGAGAGATGGCACCATGGAAGGGCAACCTCTTGAAAACGTCCTCAGGAGGCAGGAAGGTGAGCAGGTGCACACGCCAGGCCTGTGCCCAGGTCAGGGTGCGGGTGCCTCTGGCCGCTCCGGGGCCTGGTCGAGGGCCTGCACAGCCCCCTGTGGAATTCCAGGCGCATGCTCGGTGGTGGTGGGCATTCCCTGGGGGCTTTAATCAGGGCACCCCGTGCTCAGTGGTGCGAGCGGAGTGTGTTCATTGCCGCCTCCTTGCCCAGCCCCACTGTAGGCACCGAGCTTGCCTACCCCCTGAGTTTTCACTCCGCCACCCCGGCTCGGCCCAGCTGCAGACAGCGTGGCTGTTGGAATTGGGCCTTGGTGACCTTGGCACCTTCCGCACACAGTAGCCATTGGGGGGCTAATGAGCTGTGGCTCCTCCCAGACGGCTAGTAACCGCCGGTGCGCCCTGGAGTCCTGACGGGGGCCGTTCGGTCCCTGTTCGCTCTCTGCCAGCAGCCCTGCCGCCCTCCTGCCGTTCACACCAAAGGCTCGCACCTTCCCGAGGACAAGTCCCACGGAAGCTCTCCCTAAACCTGCACTTTTTACATCAAAAGGGGTGGCTCTTCCTACAAATCAGCAGAGGCCGCTCGCAGAAAACCCAGCCGTGGCCGTGGGGATGGTGTTGAGATCCTGCTGATGGGCGGGCAGGCGGGCGGGCACTGGGCGGGGCCCTGGGCGCCAACCAGCTTCGCCCGAGGGGCTCCCACCCAGGGCACGTCCCCTCGGGACCATCGAGCACGTCGCCTGTCCCCACCGGGCGGCTTGTGGAGGGCACGTGTTCTTAGCGGTGACAGCTCAGTCAGAGGCCGCGTGCCCCCTGTGCTCAGCAGCCCGGGGGGAGGCACTGGGATTGGGTTGCCGCCAAGAGGAGAGGCCACGGGGGCCACGGCCTCCACGGCAGGCCTCCTGGGAAGGAGCAGTCCGTCTCGCGGTCCACACCGCAGGCGCCCACAGCGAGAGGGCTGAGAGGACGGCCTGGGCAGCAGCCCCCATGCCTTTCCTCTGGCGAAGGAGGGAGCCACGTGGCGGGGGGTGTCCCAGGGCTGCAGTGCAGGTGACCTCAGACCCATCCTCCCCTCCTGCCCCTGCGGGTCCCGTCCACCAGCCCCCTCCACCCCCCAGCCCAGGGCACTGTCGAGAAGGGGGACCCCAGTCCTGCAGGGCTTGGCCCTCTCCTGTCTCCAGGCCCCTCTGGGCTGTGCTACCCCGGAAGCTCCTTGGCCACGCCCACAGCCCACACTGCAGCGGTGAGGGGAGGGGACAGCCTGGGGCTGGTTGTATGGTTGTCTTTTGGTTGGAGAGGGCAGCCTTCTTCTAGAAGGTTCTGCCACGCTGCCCTGCCTAGAGAGGCCCATCTGCTCTACCCCCCAGCCCCTCTGGTCTTGGAGGGAGGCCCCCTCTGACCCATGTTGACTGTCCCCAGGGGCAGGCTGGCGGCTCACTAGTTAGGGTCCTGCCTCATGGCCCATGCCCATGAACTGCTCTGAGGGGGCGGGAGGACATCACAGCCAGGAGGGAAGGTGGGGCGTGGCTCTGGGCGATGGGTGGGGAGGAGAGGCCCCCCCTCACCCCAAAGAAGCACCCTCCCCAGCCGCCGGGCTCCCAGGCCCCCCGATGATGGTGAAACCCGCCCGCCCCAGGGCGTGGGGTGGGGTGCTGCCGGCTTCACCGTTTACATGCCACAACCGCTTGCCTTACTCCCGGTGGCCGGGCCCGGGGCCCACGGCCTCCCGGCCACAGGGCTTGTCCTGACCACACGCAGATTCCCATTCTCGGGAAGCCTTACTTTTCCACGAGATTTTTGTAGCAGGCAAGTTTTGTGAATTTGTTTGTCAATAAAGGAGAAGCCACGTGATCAAACCAAACCTAAGTCTGAATGGGTGTCCCTGTGCAGAGCGTGGCTTCCCACCGCTGGTGCTGCCCAGGGCCTTCGGGCACTGCCTGTCGCAGCAGCCTCCCCGGCATCGACCCCACAGCCCCCTCCCGGCGGCCCGGCCACAGATCGGGCGCAGCGGCCCGTGCCCTGCGCCTCTGCCTCTGCTCAGGTTAACGGCGCCCTCTGGCCTTGGGGCTGGTCACCTAACGGCTGTGGCTGCCCTGCCTGGCCCGTGGGTGCGGCCCATGGGCTGCCTCTTGCCAGTCACACAGTTGCTCAAACCGCTCCCACTGGCACCAGCGCAGAAAACCAGGCCTCTTTAAAGAGAACAGACGAAAGAAAGTAGTCCGAGGCCACAGCGGAGACTGGAGCCTGACCTAGCAGTCTCTCTGGCAAATTGTGTTGTCGGTGTGTGGGGGTGTCCTGGGGGCTCGGGGACAGAGTGAGCCTGTTTCTGGGGCATCTTCCCGAAACTCCAGGCAGGGTGGCGGCCCGGGCGGGTGGGGTCTGGCCACCTCCGCCCCCGCGGCTGTCCCCCCCTCCCCACGGGCCACGCTGTCTTGCACTAGAGCCCTCTAGTCTCAGGAATTCGCTTGTTACTTTTACTGTGTAAATAAAGCTTCCTGGTTTAATATCTAACCGCCAGGAGCTGTCTGTCTGGTTTCTGTTGGGCGTGGCTAACTGGAGGGTCCCCCTGGCAGGGGCAGGGCCTGGACCCTCGGTCACCTCTGAGCCTCGGGGCCCGTCTGTAATATGGGGACACTGTTGGGAGCTGGAATACGGGGCTTTGTGAGGGACCCCGAGGGGGAGGCGGGCCCGTGGAGAGGCTCGCTTCATTGCACAACCCGTTGGCCACCCATTTGACCACAGGGCTGTGCCTAGAACATGGAAGGTCCCGGGGGCCTCAGTTTCCCCTCCGTCTGTTAAATGAAAGGGTGGGGCAGGGGAGGAGTCCAGGGCCCGGCCCTCTGCTGTTCAGTGGTTCAAGCCACTCTCCTCCCCCATCCCTGCCTCCCCCACCTCCCCTTACCCCCGCCCTCGCAGCCAAAGCCCATCGGCACAGGCCAGGTGGTTTATTTCATGGTTAGTGTCCTGCACACAGTGGGTGCGACGCTCGAGTCTATGGAGTTACGGCTCCAGGAAGTGCCCTCTGCCTGCAGCCCATCCAGTGCTGACCATTCTCGCTCTGTAGCACGTGGGCCTCCTAAGCAGGTCGCCAACCTTTCGGCCTCACGGACACCAGGGGTCCGCGGCCCACCGATCGGCAAGCGCTGCTCCAAAGGCCCCTGGGAGCTGCCCAGCTTTGGGCTCCACAGGTGATGTGGGGACAGGACAGTGTGCTGCGTTAGGGGTGTGTGGGGGTTGAGGGGGGTGCTGAGTGGCCACTCTGAGTCCAGGCGGGGGCTGGGCTGGGCAGTGCCCGGGGGCTGGCTCAGCTGGGGCTGCGTGGGCTGAGGGAAGGCCCGTGTCCTCCAGGCTCCGTGCTGAAAGGCCAGGAAGGTTGGATCATGAGGCTGGGACCTGCCTGGGGCCCAGGTGGAGGAGCACCTACAGGACCCGGTGCCCCTGGAGAGCACGTGCACCTGGGGGCTCCTGTATTCCCGGGGTACCCCAGCCCCTGCCTGGGGGCTTTTCTCTTCTGGAGGCCTAGCCCACTCTCCTGGCTTCACAGGGCTGCGGGGCAGGGAGCAGGCACGGGGAGGGAGAGAGGAGGGCTGGTTGCCCACACCGTCTGGCTGGGCCCCTCGCCTGCTGTGGAGGGCGAGGGCAGAGCCTGGGTTGGTCTGGGCACTGGGTGCGTGGGTGGGCGGTGCCAGGGGGCTGGGGACCTTCCCCGAAGGCCCATCACTTGTCCGCGTGCAGCAGCAGCAGGTCCACGGCCTCCGCGAGGTTGTCCACGTACCCGTCAGCCTTAACTTCGGGATGCTGCTCATCGCTGGGCCTGGGGGGGCAGAGGCCGTCAGTCAGGCCGCACGGGGGCCCAGCTGGCAGTGCGGCCGGGCAAGCTCTCTGGCGGGCCGAGGTCAGGGCTCAAAGCAGCACAGAACCTCCCCCAGCAAATACCCCACCTGGTTCGTCGTCATGTCCCTGGCACCTGCCCCAGGATCCCCTCCTTGGGCCCCCCCCGGGGCCGTAGGCCAGCACTACTGTCCATCAAAGGAAGGCAACCCGAAGAGGGCACGAGAGTCTGCCCAGAAAAGAGGACACCTGTGGCCCTGGCCGGTGTTGCTCAGTGGATAGAGCGTCAGCCTGCAGACTCAAGGGTCCTGGGTTCGATTCTAGTCAGGGCCACATGCCTGGGTTGCAGGCTAGATCCCCAGTAGAGGGCGTGCAGGAGGCAGCTGATCAGTGATTTTCTCTCATCATCGATGTTTCTCTCTCTCTCCCTCCCTTCATCTCTCTGAAATCAATATATATATTGATATTAAATATATATTTATTTAAAAAAGAAGCCATATTGTGATGAGATTCTGGCCAGCCCCCTCTACACACGGTACTAGCCGAACGGCACACGTGGCTAATTATGTTTAATTACATGTCATTTAAATTCGAGATCCATTAAAAGAAAGGCTGCATTAGCAGCCGGCGGTGTTTGCCGACACAGGGGAAATGCGGACTTTCATGTCTTCACTACACAACGTTGCTGAGGGCTCGGGGGACCGGGTGCGTGGAGGTACTCGCCTGGCCCC